AATACGGATTAGGAGAATCTACAGATATAAATAAACACCATTTCTCATTACATTAGAATAAAAATGCATATAGCAGTTATTAAAGGATATTCCACTGCATATCCCAATTCCCCACCCATAAAAGCCCTATAATCACCGTTTCCTTAGGACAAAATGCTGGGACTAGGGTTATATGAAGTGCACTACTTAAACTACTCTTGAGAGTCTTTTTTCATAACTGCATGCCTTGTGCGCATTTCAGGCTACTTAAATTACCCATACACAAAAGTCCCCCAAAAGACATACATTTTATTGTGAATAATAACACCATCAGAGGCAAAAAACAATACATTCAATGCATACTGTCTGTAAGTTATGGGGAGCTAACAGGAAACCTCTCCTCCTCAACTCATAGCAAAAAGCCGCCATCTTCCAAGGTCTGAGCACATTCACAAACTGGACATCCCTCCTCGTCCGCTTCGTATCCGTGTTCACAGTACTGATAGCAGGTAACGTCCTCACAGCAGTCACAGGTTAAACAACCCGTAGCAGGGCTGAGTTTGTAGACCCCGCCGGGGCACTGGTTAGCGCAGTTATTTTGATAGCACTTCTCGAGGAAGGAATTATCATCATCCAGATGGTCAAACATCTTGCTGAAACTGGCCTTGTCCACCTTCCCGCTGCCAGACACCGCTGTCTTATTGGCTTTCACGACAGGTGTTGCTACCGCAGGAGTGGTCGTAGCAGGAGCTTCATGCAGCGCCGACGGTGTGACGGTTGCGCGTTCCGATTTGGGTTTTTTGGCGGCGTCCTCATGCGGATGGATACGGCCCAGTCGGTTGTTGAGATCGGGCGGGGCGGAATGTGATTGGCCAAATCTATCAAAGTATTCACCAGCGAAGGAAGCACTGTAGAGCGGGGGAGCATGGCCCTGTGCCTCAGGTGGGAGCAGCATCCTCTTTGCGTGGGGGTGTGGTGGATACAAGCCGTGTGGGTACGACGGGAACTCACCTAGAGGAACACGAAAATAGTAGCTTTTCTACCAGTATAAACAATTTTACGACTAGAAGTGCTAAAGGACAAGAACACGGCACGAGTAGAGGCTGAATTAACATGAAAA